CTGTGTTAATTGGTTTCCCTTTTCTTTGTTGAAGAGGGTCTGTGCAATCCTTCTGCCTAGTCCGCCATCTTGCCCCGCCTCCTAGTCTCAGTTTTTAGATATTACTATCACAAGAATTATTACTAGCAATTATCATTATTGCATAAATATTATTCATATGAATATTAATAATTTTAGTAATAGTAATAATTAGTGATGTCATTAATTTCTATTAATACATTATTATTTCTATATAATATTCCTATTAATAAGCCATTCAATGATCTTTAACATTCTTTAAAAGAGTTTATTTAACATGCTTAGATGATGAAAATCTAAGAAAGTTCTTTGTTTCATTCCTCATATTCTTTTAATCTGTTACCTTCATTAACAGGTCAACCTTTCTGGAGCTGGAAGGAGCCAACCATGGATTTCAGGCGTGTGAAGGAATATTTCTCCTGGATCTACTATCAGTACCAAATCATTAGTTGCTGTGCTGTCTTGGAACCCTGGGAGCAATCTATGTTCAATACTATCTTACTAACCATTTTTGCTATGGTGGTATACACTGCCTATGTCTTTATTCCAATCCACATTCGCCTGGCTTGGGAATTCTTTTCAAAAATATGTGGATTAGACAGTACAATTTCTAATTGATCTTGTTCACAGTCTGTGAAATGGCATTGCATATTTATATGTTGCTTACAACTTATTGATTTAGGCAAATACCGTGTCTTCTTTCGCTGTCTGACTCGAAAAGCTCTGTCTTCTCTATGCACCCTTGTATCCTGCCTGGACTACTTTACCTCACATGCCGTAGTCTCTTAACTCACATCTGTGACTTCAGATATATTTTTTTTTAAATAAAGGCAATTTCATATTTTAAAAAAATTACTGGATGACTCATAAGATACTTACCAGAATTATATTTTAAATGCTCCCTTGATACCTATTCTATAGAAAAGGATATATTTAAAAAAAAAAACAGCCACAGGCTACTATCAGAACTATCCTATTCTTGTTTACAGTGTTTAAAAAATATATGTGAATAAATTATATGGCCCCTCCTTCAAAGTCCTATTTTCTAGTAAACTGGTAAAACCTAAAATTCTTTGATTTCAAATGCAAAAGAATGTGCTAAAGGCAATGATCTCCTTTCCAGCATGGTCATGAATTGTTTTAAATGCCTCTAAAAGTCTAACTATATTACAGTTTAAAATCAACAATGTTGATTTTAGGCAACCAACTAAATGTTATAATACAAAATAACTGTAAGTATAAAAAAACAAAATATAATCAAAGTAAATTCAGATCATCCTGACTTGGGGTGCTGCCTTGCTTTGTGTGATGGTGGAAGGAAAAGGAGAAAAGACATTGTTTTCTTTCTGTGCTTTCACTCAGTGAAGGGGGAAAATAAAAGCCTGCATTGGGCTACAGGAAGAAAAGCTAATAAATAGGCTGGAAGTAATATTCGACCAGCAGGAACTCGACAGCTCCAGTTAAATGCTTTAATACAGGGGCTCCTCTGCAGCGCAGAAACAAGACTTATTAAATTTCCTTCCAAGTGTTTACCTTAAAAACAAATACAAGGGTTTAATTATACTGCTGAATCAAATGTGAATGCCAAAGACCAAGCTTTGCAGTTTTCTTTCTTCCAGAACTATTAATGCTAGTAATTCTGGAGAATAAAAATGCAAATTGTTTTTGGACAATATTTGCACTCTTATTTGTGTTATGAAAAATATATATATTCTAAAGGGAATTAGGAAGAAAGATGTTTGGCAGACCAAATTAATTTGCATGTTTGTTTAAAAACAAACACGTGTTTTGAAGAGAAACCAGACTTGAACATGTACTTTTGATTTTTTCAAAATAAAATGAAGTTTAAATTTATAACTAAAATATCCACCTCTGAATCTGCTTTTTCCTTCTATTGCATTAAATATTTTGGTGGCCATATTTGTATTTTACCTAAAATTATCCTGTCTTACTAATCCCATATGGCAATTCTACTTAGAAAAATAGAGGAAGAACTAACATTTATCAAGGGTCTACTCCATGCTGGACATGTTTTACAGGGTGAAGTAGGTATTCAGTTCTTCCACTTACAGGTAAGGAATCTGGAAAACTTGGAAGAGTTTCTTATTCAAGGTCACTTAGCTACTGAAAGCAGCAAAGATGAAAATCCAGGTCAGGGCCATTTGGGTCCTGTATGTATTGGCCACATGGAAGCCCATTTAGAACAAGTGGAGCAAATGAAAGATGAAGAAAAGGAATCACCACCCTCTTAGCAAGTAGAACTCTATAAAGTAAAAGGGTTTAGGAACATGAGCAGATAGTCAAAGTTGAGGGAACAAAAGCACAGGTCCCAGATGTGGCTATACTTGGGGTGTTGTGCTCACCCATTTTTATGTAGGTCCAGACCTACACGCCTATTTCGAAGGATTGCTTTGACTCTTAAATATTTAACAGAGAATTCTGAGCTAAGCATGAATTTGGATGCATTCCCAGTTTACAATGATTCAACAGCCTCATATACATGGACCCTTGCTAAACACTCTTGGAATTCAGTCACAAAGATACTGCACTGACCTTCTCAAAATCCTCCTTCTAAAAATAAGAGAGTTAAAATAAACACGAATAGACAAAGTAAAGCTTAATGAAGGATTATTGCAAAGCATTGCCCCCAGGATGTCACTTTGAAGGTAAGCATTTCCTCTGAGCCATAAAAACAATAAATATAAGGCCTAAAAAATATAATCAAACATAATTTGGAAAAATACCTATTGACACACAGTGGGGAAGAAACCTTGCCCTGTCTGCTCTGTTGATTTTCTAGACGAAGCAGAGAACAGTCATTATCTTGACCACTGTTAACCTAGATTATAAATACTTTTTATGGGCTTTTCTTTTGTTTCTATTACTTGGATATTTCAATGCCATGAATAGAATTTTAAAAAAAAAAAAAAAAAGAAAGCCAAACGTTTCATAGTTCCAATGGGCTTCATTCAATTTGTTATTCACTAAATAAGAAATCATAAAATGTTTCTTCACTGGTATTGGCCAAGACAATTTGTTTTACCTACTTGTGCAATATCAATTAAGCACACACACACAATGTCAAGAAAACAAGCAGTTTTAACATCAAGATAATACTGATCAGTCTTTATTAACAAATTGTGTGTACAAAAAAAGAAAGAAAATTTGAGTCCACATTCTCTATTCCTCTGTTCTTCCACCACTAACATATTTGTCCACTACTCGTAGATTATGTGCTCTTTAAAGACAGGAATGTTTCCTTATTTCTGATTCTCCAGTATTTAGCCCTCTAGCCCCTGTGGTTATAGGCACAGGTCTCTCACTGGCACAGGACATAGCAGATACACACCTTAGCTCCCATACCTTTATCCACAAGAAAGCAGGAAGCTCAGCATCTGTCATGGCTCAACTTCAGAATGCATATGTTCTGGCTGCTGATCTAAAGAGCAATTCTCATTCATTCATTTATCTTTCATTCAAGAATTTATTAAAAGTCTTCCACGTATTGATAGAGGAATGAATAAATATGTGATGAGAAAAGTACAGCAGAAACTAGGCAGTGGATACTCAGAGGTTTGCTGTAAAATTCTCTTAACTTCGCTATATGTTTGAAAATTTTTATTAAAAAATATCGAGGTAGAAGACTGTCATGTGCTTGTCATTGAGTTTGGCAATGGACAAACAAAGATTAATGACACAGAAACACCACTAACCTTATGAATCAATATGATCTGATGTGGAAGATGGGGGGGATCACAAATCATGATAAAGTCTTATGAAAGAAATAGCAGGGTTTCTTTAAAATTTTTTTTTTTTTTTTTTAAGGGGAAATGGTTCATGTTGTGGTTTAGCCAACAGGTAAAGTATCACCAAAAAAAAAAAAAAATCAATATACCTTTGAAATATAGCCTCCCGGCTGCGTATGTGTTGCATCTCATTATAAAAAGGCAATACATTTCTCTCAGCCCTGAGTTACATTTACTTGAGCCAGAAGAAGTAGCAGGGTCCAAAGAGAGAGGAAAGAAGAAAAACCTATGGCCCACATACACATCTCTGTGCCTCTCATATGTCAGTTGCCAGAGAGTTATACAGATGTAGGGTCTGGAGAGCACAGACTTTTTTTTTTTCTTTTTTCAATATGAGAGCCACTACTCAGTAAAAGAAGTCTCTTGGTGGAACAAATGGTTAAGTGCTTAACTATTAACCAAAAGGTTGGGTGGTTTGAACATGCCCAGAGGCACCTGGGGAGATGGGCCTGGTGAGCTGCTTTGGAAAGGTCCCAGTCCTGCAAACCCTCTGGAGCAGTGCTATTCTGCACACATGGGGTCACCATGAGTCCAAATGGACTCAACAGCAACTGAGTTTAGTCAGTAAACATTCATTAGATAGATAGATCGATCAATTTAGTCATTTTCACAATTCCAGGTTAGGAGGCAGCAGGTCTCATTCCAGATATGATCTTCATTAGAATGGGGAGGAGAAGCTTTGGAGAAACTGCTGTCCTTCCCTCATATTCTCTTACCTGTTGTTCCTCCTCTTCTGCTCCTACATTTACTCTCACAGGAATCCCAACATGAGCATTTTGAAAGGAGGGAGGATCAAAGGGATAATTGGTGCATTTGTAAAGATCTGCAACTGATTTGCTCTTCAAGTTCTCAAGTCTGGCTGTATTTTAGAATTACCTGGGGAGCTTTCAAAGATACCAATGCTCCCCAACCCCCAGAAAAAAAATCAATCGAAATCTGTGGGGTTGCCTGTATATGGTATTTTTTTAAGACCCCCAAGTGACTCTAATGTCAGTTAAGACTGAGAGCCGCTTTGCCAGGTTTTCAGTGAATATTGATTAACTCACTAAAATCCATCTTAGAGTTGGACACTCGCTCTCTGCAACTTGCTGGGGCACACTGAACTTGTCTATATGGTCAATGGACTTCCATTTTTCTAGATCCAGTCTTAATTGTAACAAACACCACTTCCCTACTTTTCTTTGGTAAAAGTACTTAACATTCCCATAAAAGCTTAAAGTGGTAAATAGTTAAGAACACCACACTTCCCGCTGGATTTTGTCCCACTTAATGATGTCTTCAATCATTTCATCGTACCTCATTTTAGAGTGGTAAAATATCACAATTTATGCTCACAGGCGTGAAGTTCTAAAGTGCATTCTTTCTGCTGCTAAAGAGCCTAGTGGAGGTTTTTCATTTGCAACCTGAGTACAAGATCATATCACAATAATTTGGTTAAGCGAGATAATAGCTCCATCAGCATTGCTGGAGAGTATGAAAGGCTTTATGCATTTTACAGTCATGCTGCAGAACGTCACATGGATGAATGTTTGTATCCACATCCTTTTGTTTTTAATTAGTTTTAGCTATATGTCTTCACTATTACACACACGCACAGATATTTGACATTAAGGCTGTACCAATATAATGGATGGCAGAAACCATTGTAGTTGGAAACTGAGCTAACCAAATGATATATGCGGCAGAAAGATAAACACCAACCAGAGTGGTGTGACCCAAGTTCTAGTTCTTGTTCTGGGTAGTTGTGTGTGGTCTTGGGCAAGTCTCTTAGCTTCTCAGGGCTCCAGACTCCTCTTCTTTGAAATGAAGGAT